TGCTGACTGGAGCAGATGAGAGCTGAAGTCCTAAACATCTGGAGGGCACCTGGTTGGGGAAAATAGAGCCATAGCCATTCTGCAAATTCATAACAGTAACAAGCTATTTTTTAAAACCACATTTTTAGTCCTTTTGGGTGTTGATAGCCTGAAGCCCCTCTTGGTGCTTATTAGAATTATAAGCACTCCCCACCATCAGAATAAATGTCCGGTAAACGGGACGCGGGTGGTGCTGTGGGACGCGGGTGGCACTGTGGGTTAAACCACAGAGCCTCGGACTTGCCGATCAGAAGGTCAGCGGTTCGAATCCCCACAACGGGGTGAGCTCCTGTTGCTCAGTCCCTGCTCCTGCCAACCTAGCAGTTCAAAAATACGTCGAAGTGGAAGTAGATAAATAGGTACCGCTCCAGCGGGAAGGTAAACGGCGTTCCGTGAGCTGCTCTGGTTCGCCGGAAGCGGCTTAGTCATGCTGTCCACATGACCCGGAAGCTGTACGCCGGCTCCCTTGGCCAATAAAGCGAAATGAGTGCTGCAACCGCAGAATCGGTCACGACTGGGCCTAATGGTCAGGGGTCCCTTAACCTTTACCATAAAGACCAAATATAATCTAGGCTCTGCATAAGCTTTGTGAAAGGTAATTCAAGGTTGAATGCTCAATAAACAGGTCATCCAGAGGAGCCTATAGACAACAGCAGCAATGAGGAGGAGGAGGAACAGAACCAGGGCACTCAAGGGATTGGCAGTGACCCCTCTTGCCACCAGGACATGGCCCCCGGAAGAGGCCCAACTGTGCTGATTTTGGCCCTGCATGTGTGTTTCATAAATATGTCTGAATATGGAAAAGCTTGTAAAAAGACTAAGGAAATAAACATACCAGATGTGGTGAAAAGCTAGCAGAAAAAGAGGTATTTCCTTACAGCAGGTTTTTTGGGGGCAGGGGAGGTGTGTGGTAGGTGATAAAAGTTTTAGATCTCACAAACACTCCACTGGGATTTCCAACACGGTGGAACAAATACAAACAAACAAAAAGAAAAGTTCTGAACACCAGGAGGAAGTTTCTATTTTTAAATGTTTTTTAAGCTTACGGCATAGAGAACTATTGCTTTAAAAATCCTTTTTAACACCCTTCATGGTGAACCTCTAAAAGTTGAGAACAGAGGTGAGCAGCTGCCCCACAATCACACAGTTCCGCTCTAGAGATAAGATGATTTATGATGCAAAAGAGATATGCCAGGTTTTCACTAAGGCACAGACTATTTCTTTGACACAGAGAGTTTCCTGTAAATCCAGTCTGAGGACATTGTGCCACCCCTTAGATTTTAGGGCCCATCCCTGTGGACTCCGATGTGGAGCTGCAGTTTGAACATGGTGAACTACTACTTCTTTATATGCTGAGAGATCTGAAATGCCCTAGAGGCTACATGCTGCTGAGTAATTATGGCTGCACAGGCAGGTAATGAGATAAGGACAATACAAAAGGGTGCAGCGAGGAGGACATGTTGGGAAGTGTGCTGTTCTTATCCTTCACTCCTTTAGTAACATCTTCATTCTAACCACCCTATTCTCATCTCAGAAAGTTCATCTAAAGGATTTTCCCTCTGGAAACATGTCAGAATAAAGGCTACAGACTTTGCATAAAACATATACGGTTGTACATAAGGTGCTCGTCGCATCTTAATGTTGAACCTCACCAGAGAGCAGGCCTCTCAAATACTCTCTATTCTACGGGGCACTCTGCGCTTGGGTGGGAAAATCGAAAGCACTCAGTAGCACTACCCTGTTCCTCTCTCTTGTGTATACTTCCATATTAGCTGCCTGGTTCTTCTTACCTGTGGTGAAGCATCCAGCCTATTTCTGATGGTCTACGTTGTCCTGTTTCATTTTGAATTTCCACAGAGTATTCAACATAGCAGACAGGGGAGGGAAAAGTGGTGGGAAAATACGACAAAGCGTGTTCTCCCTAACAGAGAGCACGTGTTGCGGTTGGGGGAACAAGCCACCCTGCCGTTACTGGGCAGATTTTGTGAGGAACCCAAGCCTTTAAGTGGTTAAAATTGGGTTGCTGGGGAGTTTTGATTGTTGCCAATTTGGAGGAGGGGTCAGAGTCTTTAAATACAGGGGCCAGACGTTGGACGTCCTCTTGGCCGTTTTGCACCGGATCACATGGAGCGCTTGGACAATCTTCTCATTGTCTGGTTACATTTCTTTATTTCTTTATTTCCCCTTTCTTTTTAATCCTCTCTAGTCCCTTAAATAATTTAATTCCCCCCTTTTCCTGTTCGATTTCCCACCCCACCCCTTACCCTGCCCTGTGGGAAGATTCTCCCTGTAACTGTGGCTTGCCTTTCCCAATACGGAGAGAGCCCCCGTTAGGGGCTTTCTTTCGCAAAAAGGTTTGCCCCATTTCTCTTGTTGAAATTGTGGGGCTAGTCAGGGCTGTTCCCAGCTTAGCTGGAATCACTTTCGTTTATAGTATCCCCAAAGGTTGGCTTAATTTTGAGTGTGTGCAGTGCTGTTGGCCAAATTTTAAGCTAGCCTTGGGTGGGAGCACTAATTTGAGTTCCTTTAATATTGCTATGAGACTAAGATTCTCAAGAGCAGAAGCAGGGAGGCCTATTCGGCCTGCACATAACTTCCAAGCCTAAGTCTGCTACAGGTAGCACTTAATTGTTAAGTCTCTGACACGTGACTCATTCTCGCTATAGGAATGTATCTGCTTGCAGGCCCAGTTGCTGCTAATGTATATCTGAGGCAGACAGAGGGCCCCAGAGGCTCTCTGTGCCTCCAAGGACTATGAGCACTCTGTGTATGCTCTTGAACTATGCTGTTTCTGAACAAGTTTATTTTCTTTAAGTTTGTTTTGCCCTGATAGTGGCGACTGCCATTTTAGAGATGAGCCATTGTGGCTTAGTGGCTAAAGTGTAGGACTAGGACCTGGGAGACAGGGTTCATATCCCCCTCTTAGCCATTGTTATAACAAAACAAAACAAACTGCTCCTTTTGGGGTATTCTGTTGCTGGGTAGTTAGGCCCGTTTGTGATAAAAGAATTTTGGGTTTCTTGAAGGGGTGCTTCCCTCTAAAAGGGCAAGCAGGGGTACCTGGACAAGCTGTGGGCTACCTCAACTCTGCTGTTTCACTGGAAAAATTTATGCCTGGCCTAGCAGGTGATCCTAGGGCTTTGCCCTAGAATTCAATGGCCTGGAAGCGTTTCCGGCCTGAATAGTGTCCCCATGTGGTCCATGAAGCATTGGTTTCACTGGGTCAGCGCATAGTGCTGGTAATGCCTGGGTTGCAGGATTGGTCCCTGTATGGGACAGCTGCATGCTCCCCATTGCTCTACCTGGACTCTTAAGTCCTTTCGGTGGTTACCTCACTGCGAGGGATGTAACGGGCGCCACGTTTGCAATATGCAAGCGGGAGAAAGCACCTTTGCGTGCCCGCATTGCAGTTTGTGTGTTGCAGGGCACGGTGCTGCACGGGCTGCAATTGCATTGCATGAGAGATTTGCAGTTGCATTGCACGGAGCGTGTGTGCATTGCATGGAGGGTGTGAGTGCAGTGCACGGAGGGTGTGTGTATGCATTGCATGGAGGGTGTAGTTGCATTGCACAGAGTGTTTTTTGCATTGCACGGAGTGTGTGTGCATTGAACGGAGGGTGTAGTTGCATTGAACGGAGGGTGTGTAGTGCACGGAGTGTGTAGTTGCATTGCACGGAGTGTGTAGTTGCATTGCATGGAGTGTGTGTGCATTGAACGGAGGGTGTAGTTGCATTGAACGGAGGGTGTGTAGTGCACGGAGTGTGTAGTTGCATTGCACGGAGTGTGTAGTTGCATTGCATGGAGTGTAGTTGCATTGCATGGAGTGTAGTTGCATTGCAGGGAGTGTGTTTTGCATTGAACGGAGTGTGTAGTTGCATTGCACGGAGGGTTTGTGTGTGCATTGCACGGAGTGTGTAGTTGCATTGCACGGAGGGTTTGTGTGTGCAGTGCACGGAGTGTGTAGTTGCATTGCACGGAGTGTGTAGTTGCATTGCACGGAGTGTGTAGTTGCATTGCATGGAGTGTGTGTGCACTGCATGGAGTGTGTTTTTGCATTGCACAGAGTGTGTGTCTGAAAAGGAAGCTGGCTCGGCGGCAGCTTTGTCGGGACTTCTTTAAGGGTTCTGGCCAGCCTCGGCCCTGTAAATTTACATATCATGATGGCAGCACAAGATGCCCCCTGCCCAAGCGGGGGCTGGAAGCTGGCAAGCAATAGCTCAATACCTTTTGCCCATATTCCCATTTTATTTAGGGATCCAGTTGGATATCGTTGCTAAAACATACCACTTGCCTATGGAGAAGCTGTCTGCCTTGAAGGAAGTTATTTTGTAATACTTCCTCTGTAGCAAGTGATGCTTCATCAGATCCGATCTTGCTGGGTCTCTTAATTAATCTTCCCACTAGGCCAGGCTGCCTGCGGCCTGAGGTCCCCTTACCTTTGTGTACGCCTACCAAGTGTGGTGAAGGCAGATATCAGGCGATGGTAGCAATTCCTGAATGTATGCAATAGTAGAATCATAGAATCATAGAATCACAGAGTTGGAAGAGACCACGAGGGCCATCGAGTCCAACCCCCTGCCAAGCAGGAAACACCATCAGAGCACTCCTGACATATGGTTGTCAAGCCTCTGCTTAAAGACCTCCAAAGAAGGAGACTACACCACACTCCTTGGCAGCAAATTCCACTGTCGAGCAGCTCTTACTGTCAGGAAGTTCTTCCTTATGTTTAGGTGGAATCTTCTTTCTTGTAGTTTGGATCCATTGCTCCGTGTCCGCTTCTCTGGAGTTCGCCATGGCAGGATACCTTGAACCCGCACAGGGATTTTCAGGTTCATGCTGGTGCTGCTGGATCTTTGCCCTTTGGTTTTTATTTCAAGGGATGCTGGTGTGCAAAGCTATGGCCTCAAGCCCGGTGTGGTGAGGCAATCATGTGACATAACTTTTCTTGAGTTTTCCCCATTGTAGTAGCAGTTCACATGTGGCCCGAGGAGTTCAGTGACCATTGGATCTGCTTTTGGTCTGATAAGCAGGTAGTGGTGAGCGTCTTAGCAAAACAGTCCTCACGCTCTAGCACAGTCTCCGCCCCTCCGTTCATGCTTTCGAGCTGCGCCGCTTAAGGTTTAATATTGTGCTTTCTACTCTCCAAATTACAGGATCCTCTAATGATGTCGCTGACACTCTATCCCATTTTCAGATGAAGTGCTTCAGATCCTGGGCTCCAGACTCAGCTATTGCCAGACTTTTCCAGACCACCTGTGGCATTTTGACAACAATTAGTAATTACAGAGAGCAGCAGCTTCCATTTCCCCTTCTGCTTTTAGCTCTTATGAGAAGGCCTGGATGGATTTCTTAGCCTTAAGCTGGCAGTCCTCGGCCATTCAGATGAACTGGCCCCCATCCTCTGAGCAGATCCGCAGTATTTGGTCCACCTGCTGCAGATTGGGCGTGCGTTATAACTATCAGAATTCAGTCCGCTGCAATGTCTGTTACACTGAAGCTTTATTTTTCAGAGACCCTTGTATAAAGTTTGTAGTGCGCATGGCCTTGGAAGGTTGGAATAGGCTCCAACCTCATAGGACAGTGGGCAGGAAGCCGGTCAATTTTTACTTATGCAGTATCTGCAACAAGTTAAAACTTGTCTGCTGGTTAAAGATCAAGGCGAGACTCCTTTCAGTAGTCCATTGCATTTTCGCACTGAGGCTTGGGAAAATGGTTGTTGGAGCCAGCATGGGGCTGAGAGTCTGGAGGCTTATTGCTTCAGGACTTTTCCTTATCCTTTGGAGCTTGTCATTAGAGTTGGGAACTCTAAAACAGACTTAGTGGGCAGGAGTGCCACAATCAGGCTTCCCGCCACAGGTGAGGAGGGCCCTTGCCCGGTTATGGATAACAGAATATTTGGCTTTTCATTCCCTGGGGGCTGGCCCGCTCCTAGTGCATGAAAATGGGTTCCCGTTAGCCAGGCATCAATGTGCTTACGTCGTGCACCAGTTATTACGGCCTGCGGCTTGCTTACCGCTGAACACGCCTCATTCCTTACGATTGGGTGCTGCTGCAAAGGCTGCACACTGGGGGCCTGTCAGTAGACAGGATTGTGAATACGGGTCATTGGAAGTCTGACGCTGACAAGGGTTATATCAGGAAGTGTCACAATGATGTCTGTGCTGATGCTTGTCTGTTATTTCCTTTTTCATAGGAGCAGCTGTGCACATTTGGGCCACAGCATTGTACACTAGGCTGGCAAGCAGGTTGACGAGTTTGGACTGGGGCGCCATCTCAGTCTTCCTGCCCATGTGAACATATACTGGATGTCCAGATGGGAATGCTTTGGGAGGAGATCCTTCCTTTGGTGCGGTCGAGTGTGACCTGTGCAGGTCCTCCCGCAGTGCTGGTGGTACAGCTGGGCGAGAATGTTTGCTGTCTTCCTCCAGCATAAGTTTGCATTCCTGCATGCAAGAGGGCTTGGATTGAGTTGATGGCAGCTCTCCCAGGACTCAAAATAATTTAAGGCATTGGTTCAAGGTGGTCTGGAGGGGGGGTTGGAGCACCTGTCCCCTCCAATGCGCAAAGATATTCCATTAAGGGAATCCAAGGATTCACCATGCTTTTGTCGACCCCTTTCGAGGGGTAGGGGCACGCAAGAGTCCCTGGGAGCATTTGGGGGTGAGCTTGAGTCTGATCCTGGTTCATTGCTCCCCCACGCTGTTTACTGGTACTGACGATATGGTGGGGCCCAGTCGTCAGTGCTGCCCTGCTGAGGTCAGGTGCAGCCAGTCAGGAACCAATGCCTAGACAAACTACCACCGAGCAGGCCAGAAAGCATGTTAATAAGGCGGTGGACAATAGAATAAAATAAATAAAGTAAATAAAATAAAATAACAAATAAATAAAATAAAATAGGTCCTTGCTTTAGGTGGTTCTGTAATATTGCACCCTGCTATTTTTCTTCAAGGCTGTTGCTCTCTTTAGGGCAGATGGGGTGCATCTTTCCCCTATGTGGAACGACACCTGGCGGGATGCGATTGCCTTGGGATTCATTGCTCCCCCACAATGTTTGCTGGTACTGACGATATGGTGGGGCCCAGTCGTCAGTGCTGCCCTGCTGAGGTCAGGTGCAGCTAGTCGGGAACCAATGCCTAGACAAACTACCACCGAGAAGGCCGGAAAGCGTGTTAATAAGGCAGTGGAAATAAAATACAGGTCATTGGAAATAGAATGCATTCAAAGGTTATGTTCGTTAACATTATTGGTGTCTTACAATTTTTGCTTGTTTTATCTTAGGTTTAGCAGCTGTCCGCATCTGGATGGTGGGGCACAGCATCAGTGCACGGCAGTCCGGTTTGGGACCGGGTCTCGGCCTTCCTCCACATGTGCAGTTGCTTTGGCTGTCCAGACGGGGACTGCGCCAGCCAGAATTCCTGCCGCTGATTCGGAGGCAGGTGCTGCTGGAAGGGCCGCCCACTGCTGTTGGGGTGCAGCTGGGTGAGAACGACCTGGTTTCCATGGACTGTTTTTTCACTACGTGCTGCAATTTTGGGTGACCTGGAGAAGCTGCGGGCAGTGGTGCCGACAGCAAAAATATTTTGGTCAAAGCTTTTGCAACGACGTGTTTGGAAGGGTAGTCGTTGCCCAGCTGCCACTGAAAGGGCCAGGAAGCGCATCAATTCTGCTGTGTCTAAAAAGATTTTTGAGCTGGGTGGAGATGTGATTTCCCATCCTGAGATTCTTTTTCAGGCTGCATCCTTTTTCAGAGCTGATGGCGCGCATCTTTCTGCCTCAGGGAATGAGGCTTGGCTGGGTGCAGTGGTGGCCAAGCTGAGGGCTTGGTTGGGTCTGTGAGTGGTTTGGCGGTGAGCTGTGGGCTCCATGGCGGTTAGGCATTGGTTAAATTGGTGCTTGGAGGGGTAAGTGCCTATCCCTCCAAATGATGCGGAAAGGGAATTCCGTTAAAGGAATCCAGGGGCTTGCCATTCTTTTCGTCCTTGTCCCTGGAATCGGACTTGGGCCGTGCAAGCCCCACAGGAACATGAGGGTGAGAAGTGAGGGACTGATACCCAGCTTCATTTTCTCACCCAATACTTGTTTCCCACGCTGGCTTCCGCTGGTGTCCGGAAGGCCAGCTCTGTCCCTGAGGGCAAGGACAGATAGTCATAACCAATGCCTAAGCAACCACTCACATTTTTTGTATTTTGAATAAAGTTGTGGCCAAAATTATGCCAAAAACCTTAAACAAAAATTGATGTGTGAAGTGTGAATTTTTTGGGGGGTGGCATTGTGGGACTCAACACGCAAAGCGTGTTCTCCCTAACAGAGAGCACGTGTTGCGGTTGGGGAACAAGCCACCCTGCCGTTACTGGGCAGATTTTGTGAGGAACCCAAGCCTTTAAGTGGTTAAAATTGGGTTGCTGGGGAGTTTTGATTGTTGCCAATTTGGAGGAGGGGTCAGAGTCTTTAAATACAGGGGCCAGACGTTGGACGTCCTCTTGGCCGTTTTGCACCGGATCACCCGCCCTCCCTCCCTTTAATAGGGTGGTTTTTTCTTGATCGCTTGACCTTGCTATGCCTGTCATGGGGTCGTCCGCCTTGGAGCGGGGGCCTGGTAGGAATTTTGCCATCTGGCTGATTGGCTGGTGCCATTTGGTTTTTGCCTACTGCGTAGCAAATCGTCACAACTTGTAAGGTTGGCGGTTAGGCATTGGTTAAATTGGTGCTTGGAGGGGTAAGTGCCTATCCCTCCAAATGATGCGGAAAGGGAATTCCGTTAAAGGAATCCAGGGGCTTGCCATTCTTTTCGTCCTTGTCCCTGGAATCGGACTTGGGCCGTGCAAGCCCCACAGGAACATGAGGGTGAGAAGTGAGGGACTGATACCCAGCTTCATTTTCTCACCCAATACTTGTTTCCCACGCTGGCTTCCGCTGGTGTCCGGAAGGCCAGCTCTGTCCCTGAGGGCAAGGACAGATAGTCATAACCAATGCCTAAGCAACCACTCACATTTTTGTATTTTGAATAAAGTTGTGGCCAAAATTATGCCAAAAACCTTAAACAAAAATTGATGTGTGAAGTGTGAATTTTTTGGGGGGTGGCATTGTGGGACTCAACACGCAAAGAAAAGCTATTAAAGGACTAAAATCTTTGCTTTCAGAGAACTTGGGGATAACTTTAGCCAGGGGAATCAAAGAGGTCCTGTCTCCATATTTCAGTGGGAGATATATACATAGGTGCTCCACTTGTATGGTAATGGAGCTTGTTTACTCCTGATGTATTTTCTGAGACACTTGCTATTCAAAGCTTCCTACAAATGCCTGACTTTGAACTGGGGTCACTGTTGTAGCCCTTGTCGTCATCATCATCATCATCTAATTTATGAATTGCTTCCTATGAGGCATCTTGAAAGCTATTTCTAAAACAATAAAAACTTACATAAAACATGCATTATTAAGCATCACTGAGGCAATGGCCAGATCACTACTCAGTGCTACTCTTATTCATCCTGTGGTATGCAACTAGCCCAATGTTTACATAATACCAACAGTGTGCTAGGTAGCATAGAGAGCACAGAAGAAGCATAGTTAGGCTTCTTGTGGATCTGCAACATTTGCAATGATGCACACCAAATGGTTAATGCTCTCCCCATCACTACACCATCATGTTTGAAAAAAAGCTCTGCCTATTGAATTGCTGGCTCTTATGCACCTGGCTAGATATTTGAAGTGCTTCAAACTTCAGTAGCCCTCATTTGCAGTCCTATCCATCTATTGTGAGCGAGCACAAAGGACTTGTTGACTGCACTCTGAATGGCTGCCTCTTCACACTCATTGCAGACAGTACAGTCCTGGGATAAAGTAGTTCTTAGTTACGTGTGGGCTATGGTCATAAAGCAAGAGTATGGAAATCTACAGGGCAAAAGTGTTCTAAGAACTAGCAGTTCTGATATGGAATGGAAGAGTTGGCTAATTAACAGCGAATTTTGATAGGTTGCTATCATGAATGTTGAGCAAGCACATTAATATGGTTTGATGTGAGTGCCCTATAGTTTCTCCTCTCTGGGGTCAACCACAACCGTTTCTATACATGGAATTGAAAGGAGTTCTTGCTTCAATAACTCTGCAAGGTTCCATTGTTGAGAATGGAATGTATTGCCAGTGTTTCTCTTCTGCATGCACCATGATGAGACGTTAACATGGGTTAGGTAGGTCCAATGGCTATTTAAGCTTCACATCGCAAACTTAAAGATAGCTTTGGATGTGCTGGAAAGGCACATGATGTGCAGTCACTGCTATTAACCTAGGAACGCTCCTGGTGGTGGAATATGCAAGCTACATGTTCATCAGAAACCTGGTCATCCTTGCTGCAGAACCTCTGGAACCTGTGCAACCACTTATAGGTGAAGTACTTTGTACTCTTAGATAAAAAATGGTATAATGAAGTATGACTCAGTGCCAAGCTTCGCGTAGTTTTTGCAGCAGAATCATTACATTCTATGGGTGCAACTGGAAAGATGATGCCTGATGTGGAGTCAGTGCTCAGGTGAGTAGAGATGGGTGCTTGCTCTCCCAATGGTGGAAAGTTTGAAAACAGCTGGCTTGGTGAAATTGGAATATACAGAAACACCATAAAGCACATTAGCATGCACACATGTATATATGTGCACCACATATATATCCTGCTTGTTTCCCTGGCAGGACTCAATGTGATAATTTATATGTTGAGATGCAACTTTAGAAATAATTACTATAATCTAAATAGGTATGAAATGCTCCTTTCATTGGGAGGGGAGATGATCAGGTGACCATTGTGTGCCTTCTCAGGCTGCTGCCCAGCTGTTAATGATTGATGAGCAATCTCAAGCTCCCTCCTTCTGGTTCTTTATTTTTAAACCTGGACTGGGCAGCCCTTCAAATAGAGGGCTGCTCTCTGAGAGCTCTTCAAACAGAAGATTGCCTTCTGTACCGTAAGACATGCGGCCTCCCTACTTTTACAGTGTCTCCTTGACACTGATATAAATAAATGCACATGCACATGCTTTCCAAGGCTTATAAAAGGCTGCTGCTTACGGTTTTGCAGGTGCAGAAACCGAGCTGTGAGGTCTGGAAAGGACAGAGCATTGTGGCAAGTGCACAGACTGCACAGTCTCCTTGGTGTTTTTGCTGAAGTGTAGCCTGTCACCTCACGACTACATCCCTTGAAAGTAGTATAAAGCTAACTGTATCCCTCTTACCTACAACCTGTGCTAAATTTCATTTAGCTCCATTGAAAGGTTCAGCCTCTAGGCCATGCGGCTGCTGTCATTGAGTTTGGAAAATATTTGTTCCAGATCTAAGAGGTGTGCTTGCTGAAACCGAAAGACAGAATCCAATCGGCACAATGGTGTGTGCGTTTGTGTGTGAGTATATAATGTGTGTGATATATAATGTATGTATTTGAGAAACATCTTTCCAGTAGCAAAAGTTTGAATTTTAGTGGCCAAGTCATATGGGGTAGGTAGAACTTCTTTTGTCCTTTACTTTCTATGTAGAGTCAATAGAATTACTCTCTCCACACAGGCTTTTTATTGAGCTGAAGCTGTGCTCATGTGTTCTTAAGACTTATCTCTTTGCGAACCGCCACAAATAATGTCTGTACATTCTAACCAATTATATAGTTCTGTTTATTTAAGAGGTTCATTTAGGCTCACTCTGAGTATGAATGGATTTGCAAAGATGAAGGTGGAGCATATTAAGCAGAGAACTAATACCATGTCCTTTTTCTTTGGAGTAGCACATAATTCAATATCAGCCAAGGTTTGTCCATAGGGCTTAAATCTGTATGTCTCTCAGCAGCGACACTTGAGCAAGATCTTTCGGAT